CTGAGAGGCCTCTTGGGCATCCTGGGAGGCCTCTTGGGCTTCCTGAGAGGCTTCTTGGGCCTCCTGGGAGGCCTCTCGGGCCTCCTGGGGGGGCTCTTTGGCCTCCTGAGAGGCCTCTCGGGCCTCCTGAGAGGCCTCTTGGGCCTCCAGAGAAGCCTCTTGAGCCTCCTGAGAGGCCTCTGGGGCCTCCTGAGAGGCCTCTGGGGCCTCCTCAGAGGCCTCTTGGGCATCTTGGTCATACGTCATCAAACATCACACATCATCAAACATCATACATCATACAACATCACACATCATCAACCACCATACACAATACATCATAGTACACCATCAAACACCATAAGTCATAAATACATCATCGTACATCATCGTACACACTACATCATACATCCTAATGGACCATCAAACACATTACATCATAACGCATCACCAACCACCATACGTCATACTATACCATCAAACACCGTACACCATACATCATCACACATCATCAAACATCATGCATCGTAGTATATCGCACATCATCAAACATCATACAACAACCATCAAACAACACATATCACCAATCATCATGCATCAAACATCAAACACCATGCATAACCAACCATCAAACATCATCAAACATCAAACATCATACAGCATCATACATCAAACCCAATTCATCATCAAACACCAAACATCATACATCTTCAAACACCAAACATCATACACCTTCAAACATCGAACATGAATCATCAACCATCATGAATCATCCAACATCAAACATCAAACATCGCACATCAAACACCAACCATCATTAAACATAAACATCAAACATCATCAACCATCAACAAACATCAAGCATCACACCTCACACATCACCAAACATACATCATACATCATCAAGCATCAAACATCAAACATCAAACACCAATCATAATTAAACATCACAATCAAACACAAAACATCATTCAACATCATTTATCATCAACAAACATCAGACCTCAAACCCCATTCAACATCAACCACCAAACATCGTACACCAAGAACCACCATACATCCTACATAATCAAACACCATACACCATTCATCATACATCATCATACATAATCGTACATTTTCATACATCATCATACATCATCATACATCATCATACATCATATACGACATCATACATCATCATATATCATCATACATCATCATGCACCATCATACATCATCATGCACCATCATACGTCATCATACATCACGCATGAAGCGCACACCCACACCCACACCCACACCGACACCCACACCCACATTTTTTTTTTTGTTAAAGCCGTTGGAAACGCGAAACCTCAATCACCACCCTTAAGTCGTCTCACGGACGAACTGCCCGGCCACCATCTCCCGGTCAGCCCTAGTAGTAGTAGTAGTAGTAGTAGTAGTAGTAGTAGTAGTAGTAGTAGTAGTAGTAGTCGTAGTAGTAGTAGTAGTAGTAGTAGTAGTAGTAGTAGTAGTAGTAGTAGTAGTAGTACATCCCCAGGCCGAAAGTTCTTTCCTCTTGAGCTAAAAAATGAAAACATCAATGGATTCAATTGGATCCCTTTTGGGGTATGGAAGAGTTTCGTGGATCCTATATCTGTGTTGCGCGGGTCAAATTTCCGGTGTGTGAACAAACGATGGGTCCATTTATTCTTCGGGAATATATATATATATATATATATATATATATGTAATAGTAATTAACATCCGGGGCCCAGTGGAAGTGGGATCCGCGGAGCACCGCAAGTGAAGCATCATGCTATCCACGGAACTGTGGATCTGCAGGCCAATGCTATGATTCTACGGGGGGGAGGGCTTCCCAGAATGAAGAGGGGAAGGATGAGGGATGAGGCAAGTGGAGGTGGGAGGAGAACAGAGGGGACTGGCGCGTCGCTTCCGGCATGTGGGTCTCAAGAGGAACATCTTTCGGCTTGCGTAAGTGGAATTTCGAGCTGCGTCTCCCCCGCCAACACGTTGTGCTAAACCCTTCAGTGGGATTTCGAGCTGCGCCTCCCCCGCCAACACTTTGTTCTAAATCCTGCAGTGGGTTTTCGAACTGCGTCTCCCCCGCCAACACTTTGTGCTAAATCCTGCAGTGGGATTTCGAACTGCGTCTCCCCCGCCAGCGATTCTAAGGGGAGGGGAGGTCTTCCCAGGATGAAGAGGGGAAGGATGAGGGAAGAGGCAAGAGGAGGTGGGAGGAGAACAGAGGGGATCGGTCTTCCCAGGATGAAGAGGGCAAGGATGAGGGATGAGGCAAGAGGAGGTGGGAGGAGAACAGAGGGGACCGGCGCGTCGCTTCCGACATGTGGGGCTCAAGAGGAAAATCGCTCGGCCTGCGTAAGTGGGATTTCGAACTGCGTATCCCCCGCCAACACGTTGCGCAAAACCTTTCAGTGGGATTTCGAGCTGCGTCCCCCCCACCAACACGTTGTGCTAAAACCTGCAGTGGGATTTCGAACTGCGTCTCCCCCGCCAACACGCTGTGCTAAACCCTTCAGTGGGATTTCGAGCTTCGTCTCCCCCGCCAACACTGTGCTAAACCCTGCAGTGGGATTTCGAACTGCGTCTCCCCCGCCATCACGTTGTGCTAAACCTTTCGGTGGGATTTCGAGCTGCGTTTCCCCCGCCAACGCTTTATGCTAAACCCTGCAGTGGGATTTCGAACTGCGTCCCCCCCGCCAACACGTTGTGCTAACCCCTTCAGTGGGATTTCGAACTGCGCCTCCCCCGCCAACAATTTGTGCTAAACCCTGCAGTGGGATTTCGAGCTGCGTCTCCCCAGCCAACACGTTGTGCTGAACCCTTCAGTGGGATTTCGAGCTGCGTCTTCCTCGCCAATACTTTGTGCTAAACCCTGCAGTGGGATTTCGAACTGCGTCTCCCCCGCGAACACGTTGTGCTAAACCCCTCAGTGGGATTTCGAGCTTCGTCTCCCCCGCCAACACTTTGTGCTAAACCCTGCAGTGGGATTTCGACTTGCGTTTCCCCCCCCAACACGTTGTGCTAAACCCTTCAGTGGGATTTCGAACTGCGTCTCCCCCGCCAACACTTTGTGCTAAACCCTGCAGTGGGTTTTCGAACTGCGCCTCCCCCGCCAACACGTTGTGCTAAACCCTTCAGTGGGATTTCGAGCTGCGT